ATTGTAAGACTTTCCGAGTAGCCTTGAGGCATCCTAGCCTAAGTCCATTTCCTTTCCTGAAAAGTAAAGCCAAACCACCCCTGACTATCCGGATGAACTTGGATACTAAAGAAAGCATTAGCTAAATCTATCACTGTAAAATAGGAGTTCTCTGGTTTCAATTGGTTCAGCAATGTATTTCAGCAAAGATATTTCTATTAACCCCCTGCAAGTCCATGACCATCCTCCAGTCGGCGCTAGGTACCTCCTTTCTAACAGGAAATATTGGAGAGTTTCATTGTACCTCATCTCCAGGAATTATCACCCCTCCCTTAAGTAAATGCTCAAATGTAGGTGTTATCCCTTTTATTGCTTCTGGTTTCATAGTATATTGCTTTTGGTATGGTCTATTATCGAATCGAGGAATCACTTGTACTGGAGCTACCCCCTTAATTAGTCCTACATCTGTTATCCTTGTGACCATAATTTGAACGGAATTGCTTCTAACTCAGCCTCCTGTTCCTGAGTTAAGAAAATCTCTTCCTGTCATCCGTTAAAACTTATCTCCAGATGGACACTGGGCTGGGTTTTTGCTCTCCAATTTAACTTTCTTCTATATCTCCCAGTGGAGTGGCCATACTGATCCCCATTTGGTGTATTCTGCCAGTCAGTAATGTTTTTCCCCTGTTTTATCCATTTACCTAGTTTTAACCATTCCTCTGAATGTTCTTTCACTAGGGCAACATGGGGGCTCCACCTTTCTCTGTACAGCCTCTGGCTCTGTGAACCCATTTTAACCCAATTTGAAAAAACAACAATCACAAATAGCCAGGCCTCACTCAATTTGATAGCTCACTTTTATGACCTAAATACTGCCTAACTGAGATGAGCTAATCTCTTTCTCCTAGTTATAATCTAAAGATGGTAGTACACACAAAACATGATAGATATTCCCAGTCTTAACCCATCAATAATTGTTTGTATCATTCTAATTCCTCCTAACTAATCCATTAAACCACTCAAAATTCCTCGAGTATACAATGATTATTTAATTGATTACCCTAACTCTGCTACATGTGATCTCCTCTCAAATGATCCATTTATCAATTATTTATTCAACCCCCTAGGAAAACCTGTCTTCCCTTCTATTGTTCCTGTCCTCCCTGTAAATGTCATATTTGAGTTTTTAGCCAATACAATCACGGTTACATCAAATGTTCCCTCATTTAATGGTATTTTCTTCCTAATATAACTTCCCTAAATGAGATTAAATCCCCTGCCTTCCTCTTCTATCCTTATATCATTACTGGATCAATGATAATAACTGTAATAACTATCAATAATACTTGTAATAACTATTTCACATTAAATTGTGTCTTTTTTCTGATAATGTTATAATTGTAGCCTATTCCATCACTTTAATTTAAAAATATAAGTTTATGTAACAAATCCATAACCCACTACAGGCTGGCGCTATTCCCCAGCACAACAGCCAATGCATACTTTCATCCTAACCAAAATAAATTATCGTCTTAAAATCGTCCAATTATTCTGTATTTTCCCGCTAACCCATTTCAGTTCGCTATTCAATGTATTTAACTGTTCTCTCTGATTATGCCCTAATTAATAAAACAAATACTTGCTATCGTTGGTCAGCATACGCTTAATGACATTCTTATCATCTGAACTATACTGTCTCTCACCCTCCCCTTGCTCCTTCGGGGAGAGCGCATGGTAACCTTATAACATATTTTCATAGACTTTTCTAGGAATACTTCTATTTAAGCTATCTAATTCAATCTTTCACATTTCTCAATCCACATAGTAATTTAGGTATATAGCCCCACTGCGAAAGCTTTGTCTACTGTCCCTACCTGTGTTCGAACCAGGGACATCGCCAGTCACTTCACACCATCTGCGATGCTCTCAAAGTAACTACTCCCAGCTCATAGAGCAAGTGACGTCACCAAATGAAAATCGCAGTAGCTTTCACCTCAGCAAAAAACTCTCTCCTTTTGATTCCCTATTGTATAATTTAGTTTTTCTATTTAACCCATAAACACGCTACAAATAGTCCATTCAACATTACCAAACCAAATACTCCATCGTACCCATTCAATCAACACATCAGCCGTGGAATTTACACTCATAAATGCAGATTGTTACTCCATGCCTTGAAATGATAAATAGATTTCCACTAATAGTACCATTAATGATCTCATCTTACCCTCTGACACAAAATGAAGTTCCCTCACTGTACTACGTTAGCTCTACCATGATAATTAGTTCAATTTAACCCTCTATTTGTTTTGTACTATATTATACATTACGTCTAAAACAACATTACTTAGTTTATTCCACCATCACATTATCCAACAACGCCACAATCTTAAACTCATATGGGGCGGCTGGCAGTTTAGTGACCAATAGCGCCGCGCCAACAACCGAGAGGTTGCCGGTTACAATCCCCGAGCCGACCAGGCGAAAAATCTGCCGTTGTGCCCTCGAGCAAGGCACTCAACCCCAATTGCTCCCATAAATCGCTCTAGACAAGAGCGTCTGCCAAATTACCAAAAACGCAAATGTAAATATTCTCTACTTTCTCACCCAACGCACGTCTACGCTCGGTGAGCAAGTTTAGAACACTCTCTCGTCAGATACCCACATGCGTTCCCAGCCATCTCCCAGTCTTTTCATGGCTCCAAAAGCCTCACTTTCGCTCTCTCCAGCCCCTCCCCTCGCAACTCTACCTTTTTGAGGAGCTGTGAGGAGCTGCTTCTCGTCCCAGCGCGCCTCCAATATTCCGCCGTTACTCAAAGTACTCCAGTCCATTTATTTAAATCAAATAATTCCCACCTAATTAGTTAAAGTTGGTGCACGTTTATAAACCGAATTATTTCGGTCTAATTGTTTAACCAGTATTTTGCACGGTCAAACATCAAACGTTAAATCAAATAATAAACCAAATAGCCCAAACCAAGCACCTAAAACCAGTATTATTCTATGTCAAACATCAAACCTCAAATCAAATACTAAACCGAATTGTTTCGACACAACTATTCAAAAGCAGTATTATGCTATTTCAAACACCAAACGTTATATTTCAAATGTATCAGTTCAAACGTTTTAGTTCAGTCACACAATTCATCACTTTAGCTTTATGTTCCCAATTGTTTTTAACGGGTTATATGGTTTAAGCAACCACAAATCCAACAGTTATTCCCAAATTATACAGTTTGGACAGCCACAGACGTCTTATGATTCCCAATTTGTTTTCTATCAAGGTATACAGGTTTATCATTCACACTTTCATGCATACGACAACACTCGCACTGTTTAACTTTTTATAGTACCTCCTATGGGTGTCTTTTGTTAACGTTTGCACAATTTAAACCTTATTTCCTATTTGTAATTCTCATAATTTACTGTTTTAAAATGTTCTTTGTATTCACAGCCAAAAATGGTACACAGTTAAGCGTAGTATACAGTTATCACACAGCAAAAATAGTACACAGTTATCGCCCTCACTCACAATACACAGTCATAATCCTATCATACAGTCAAATATGTCACACAGTCATAAATGACACCCATGTTCCACACACAATCTATTTGGGCACACAGCCTCTTCTACTATCTTTAAAAAATACTCAGCTGAACCTAGCCATATCCTCGAAGTTATGGACCTTGCCAGTCGCTAGTATTTATCTAAAATGTTCCGAACCTAGCCGTATCTCGTAGTTACGGACCTTGCCGGTGTAATTCTTCGAACCTAGCCGTACTGTCGTAGTTACGAACCTTGCCGATAGCAATTACTTAAACCAATTATTCCCTATATCTTCCGAACCTTAGCCGTATGTCGCAATTACGGACCTTGCCGGTAGATGTCAGCATTGTCTCCTGAACCTAGCCGTCTCTTAGCGGACCTTGCCGGTAGAATCAACACTCTCTGGTACCATGGTTTTTTAAACATCACATTTAGCAAAGGTTTGCATGTCACAATATTGTGCTTATCTACTCATAATAATTTCATAATTTAGTTAACTTACATCAGACAGGTGTTTCACAAAATTAATTTGGATAAAGCCAATGTGCAGATCTTTGGTTATTTAACAACAGGTATCTGCTTACCTTTTTAGAAGCCCGGGCAGTTTGTGAAACACACGGTTCGATTAAAGAGTTGACCAAAAGGGCCGGACAGTATCCAGCGAAGTCCCTTCTACCAGACCGCGTCGGGGTCACCAATTGTCAAAGTCGCGTCAATTCAAATCTGGTATCAGGAACAAAAGAGGTCAACACGACTTCTAAGGTATACTAGTTATTTTAATTAATGCAAAAACCTTCAATGGTAAATTTGATGTTTCGTATATACGGGCTCTCTGAGATGTCTCGCAGAACACCCCAGACAACTAACACATTGTTCCAGAAACAATACCCAAATACTCTGACAGAGGGAGTTTCCCACTTCTCTGCTGGCCAATTAGAGTAAAGACTTGAGCGTGGTTTAAACTTTCTCAGCCAATCCGTTGATTCAGGGGTTGCTCTCATCTCCTCGGCACCATTTGTTACACACTTCAGCCAGGCACAAGATTATCATAACAACCTATCATAGTGAGAAGAGCCAGCTCCCTTAGACATCATTCCTATGTCAAAGGAAGGCTCACAGATCACAAATAACTATTATAGTCTAGCATTTGAAGACACAATCCTTATCTTATTTTTACCCCCTAAAGCAGCTCTTCACATCAATCACAGCCTTGCCAGGTGTCACAGCCTACATTAGCCCAGTCAAGACTGCATTCTTTCTAAGTTAGTCATCCCATCAATTTAGGAGAATAATAAATCCCCAATAACATGTAGGCACATTTGCTATTTAACGCAACAGTTTTTGTGCCAAAACTATAGGTAGAGTCGAAAATGCAATGGAAACACATGTAATTTTAGATTTTTATTCGGTACATGAAAACGTAAGCGAAAGAGTACATTTCGTGTTTCTCCGTCATCACGCACAAATCCGTTTGGCGGAAACACCACTTCTGGGGAAATGCTCATATTTTCTGCATGCGGATTTTAGAATATTCGCATGAAACCTGCTGCAGATAATAAAATTAACACGTTCACCACGTGAATGAATAATCATAGCGTCACGTGACAGTGTTTTAGTCATGGCCGACGACTGCAGACGACAGGGCTTCGAACTGGAGAGAAGGATCTTTGAGTTGGACAGTAAGTGCGCAAGCCTCAGAACCGAGAAACAAGGTAGGTGTGCACTGTTATAACAATCATTTGTAAAGAAAGGTAGCTAATGTCACTTCAATGTGTTCAGTTGAAAGCTCTTCTCAGCTGGCTTATTTAGCTAGCTACGTTAGCGACCATAACACCAGAAATACTTTATGATAACACCAGACCAAGGTAGCTAAACTAGCTAGTTTGTCAAAGTTGCAACAACAGTATTAAACTATATCACTCATCGCATACATTCGCTAGCTAGTTAGGTTTGCTTGAGAACGTAGCTAACGTTTACATTATTAGCTACGTTAGCTAGTTAGCGTTAGCGAGCTAACTTGATACCTAGCTAGTTAGCTAATTATTTTTGTTTTACATTTTGTTTGTTTATTTCACTTGCTTTGGCAATGTAAACATGTTTCCCATGCCAATAAAGGCCATTTGAATCGAACTGAATTAATTGATGTGGTACTGTAACGTTAGCTAGGGAGCAGATAGCTAGCCAACTAATGTGTCGACAAAGATGCTGAGCTAGGGGTATTGATCCGTTACTTTTCAAAACATTCAATGCATAATGTTATTGCAGATTGCTTGACCAATGTATCTAGGCTATTCTGGGATCCTGATTTCTTGGATTTATTAGCTAGGTAGCTAAATGTATTCCACTTTGTGTAAGGTCTTTGCTTACTGGCCAACTATTCTCTTCCAGTGAACTTGATTTTGTCAACTCTAGTCTAGACCAATAAAACTGTGTACTATGGTGGCCGGAGGACATAGCTAGGTTATCTTCTTTACTGACTAACTCAAAGGGCAGCTCCTTACATTTTATGCCATTATCATGCCACTGTGAAAGACATTGTCACAATGACATAGCTAGAAATCTAGTCTCGTGTAGCGCAGTTGGTAGAGCATGGCGTTTGCAACGCCAGGGTTGTGGGTTCATTTCCCACAGGGGACCAGTATGAGAAGAAAAAAAATGTATGCACTCTCTAACTGTAAGTCGCTCTGGATAAGAGCGTCTGCTAAATGACAAAAATGTAAATGAACAGTGTGTTTAAACTAACACCTGAAATTATACATTAAACTCTGTAAGCATGAGATGTACTGTTTGGACATAAAGTTAGACCTGTAATACATATTTAACAACTTTATTTTCTCCTAGATGATGACTATTTACAGAATGCTTCTGCGATACTAGACAAGTTGAAAAGCTTTTACAGACAAGGGGGGGAGAGTAACAGTCTGCCTAAACTGCTTCAGGATTACACTCAGGTATTGCAGTTCATTAAATGTTACTGTTCTAGCTAGAGTCTAGACAAAATGTTTTAGGCTAGGTGTGAATTCAAATATGTTACCATACCATCCAAGTTCCCTTCATCTCTGATAATCCTGTACAGTCAGGTAGGCAGGCAATTGGCCTACTGAATGTAAACGGTAGACTTCATGTGTTCAGGCCTTGTTAGTTGCAAATAGGTAGCCTCATAGAACCAAACAGATTGTTGTTTTGGTGAGATATGGCATGCCCAGGCTGGTTCACGAGGCAAGCAAATTCCCCACATGTCCTTTTGTGTTCTAGTAGTTCTTCCACCTGCTGTTCGAAATAGGATAACAGTACTCTATTTTGTTAAAAGTCGTAATTGTCATCCAATGACATGAGCCTGAAGGTGTGAAAGAGCAGACACACTTGTTGTCCTTCCTTGATGCGGGAACCTTCAACTGACCAGTATCCTCGTTGTGACTGGCTCTGTTCACAAATGAAATGCACCCTTCCTCATGTCCTTGAAGTAGCCCAATCACTGATCTGTTAGTGAATGGAATGTTTGTTCATCCTTTCACCTGTCAGACCATAGAAAATCAGTGATTACTTTCAAAAGACGAAATGACACAATGATGCACTTTAAAAAGAGGGGAACTAGTCCACAAATGTGGAAATCTAGAAGAGTTCAAAAGATTTGAATTCCAACTTCAAAGTGCAGTGCTGATGCTAAACCCAGTGACTTGTTGACGACATTGACATAACTCCCAACCCACGGTCTGTCTGAGTTATCCGCATCATCCCCACCCACCATAGCAGAGTTGTAGACAGGCTGTTGGAGAGACAAAGACATTTGCCTTCTTGAAGGGAGTTGGCCAACAGCCTGTGGACAAATCTAGCCTGTGGAAGAAGTCTGCAATTCACCTGCATTAGAGTTGAAGGTCGGCCGACCATGTGACTCTTGTCATAAATGTTAGCCAAAGAGCATGGCTGAATGGGTTAATTGCAAAAACTATTATTGTTTAATCATATTTATTTGTGTTAAAGGTCCAATGCAGCAGTTTATTTTTAAAAATCTCAATATCAATTAATTGCTGGGTAACAATTAAGTACCTTACTGTGAAGGTTTTTTTCTTATTAAAATGGTTTTAAAAAATGAACAAATAGCTTCTTAGCCAAGAGCAATTTTCTAGGACTGTCTGAGTGGTAAGGGGAAAGCAAGCTGTTGGCAGAGAGGTTTGGAACTTTCTTATTGGTCTATTAACTAATTTACCGCATGGTGATGTCACCAGGCAGGCCAAAACTCCATCCCACCAAAACCGGCTGAAATTTCAGGCAGTCTTTTCAAAGAGCTCTTACACTTAAAGGGAATTATCATAATTTTCACAGTATTATTCCAACCTCATATTGTGGAAATGTATATAAAACACAGGAAAATCAAATTTGTTGACTGCACTGGGTCTTTTAAAGTAAAGAATGACACTAAAGTAAGTGTGTGTGTGTGTGTGTAGGTGATCCTGGACATCACGTTCTATGAGGAGAACAAGCTGGTGGACCAGGAGTTCCCGGAGGACTGCTCGCCCTTTAAGATCCAACAGCTGCTGCAGGACCTCACAGAGCCAGAGGTGCTGGCCGGGAGGCTGTTCCCGGCCCAAGAGGTGTGCGTGCCTGCGTGCAAGAGATATTCAGCCTGCTCTTAAAGGGCAATGCATGTGCATAGGACCTCATACCCTATGCACTGAGTATTTTGTTCACTACAAGAAAATAACAGCAAATTTACATACCACACACACCAATGGAGTCTGCTGTGGGGCGGACGGCTCATAATAATGTCTGGAACGGAGCAAATGGAATGGTATCATACACATGGAAACCATCCGTTTGCTGTATTTGATACCATTCCACTTATTTAGCGCCAACCATTACCACGAGCCCGTCCTCCCCAATTAAGCTAAACACTATTGTTTAGTGACAGCTGTCCCTGTTCCAGGTGCAGTCAGTGCTGGGGCTAGAGGTGTTAGAGTGCCTCTACTGGAGACGTGGAGCACTGCTTTACATGTACTGCCACACCCTCCACCAACGCAAGCAGTGGATCAAGAAGAACAAGGCCACTTTCCTCAAGGTAGGGCCATCTAACTTTATATAGAAGTCCTAACTTGAATTGCAGTGCACCTGCTACTATCAGAGTTGGATTCCTTACGCCTGTTGTTCATGCGGAGTGTTGTTGTTGTGTCTGTCTTGTGTCAGTGTCTTCAGGAGGGGGTGCGCTACCTGATGAGGATGCTGCAGGTGAGGAACTCTGTGAAGCTCAATGACGGGGTGGTGTTTCACGACTCTGCTACCGCCAACTTCCTGGCTGAAGGTAAACACAGGACCGCTATAATGTTATACATGTGTTTTGTTGTGGCCTGTTTATTTTGTCAATGTTACATGCTTGTTTTGACATTATCAAGACAACCTTTTTCTTCACTTTCTTCATTTCTCGTAAAGGGATGAAAAAACACATCTGGTTATTTATCTGTTTTTATTTATTTTCCAACAGGCATCTTCTCAGACACCCACCTGTTGACGATGATGTACATCGGGGAGATGTGTTTCTGGGCTGTGAAGTACGAGGACTGCAGCGTGGATTCCACGGAACGCAAAGAGGACCGGCTTCACTTCCGGGACATTGGGACGCAGATCCTGCACAAATACGTGCTGGCCTGTGACGGCCCTCTTCAGGGCCAGGGCTGGAACACTGAGAATGCCAAGGAAATTCTTAGTATCTTACAGTGAACCAGGGAGGGCTATGGGTACAAGTTTCCCTTAGGCACTGATCTAGGATCAGATAATCAAACCCTGAATTGTAATGCTAAGCATTAAGGGAGAGGGAATCTGACGGATCAGTTTCTAGGGTCAACTTTCTCCCGTTCTGAAAGGCTCCGGCTGACTGAGGGGGTGAAGGTTGGGGCAAGGGTAGGTGAAGAATGAGGGGCTAGGGTAGGTGAAGAATGAGGGGCTAGGGTAGGGAGAGATGTTAATTAAATGTGAGTCTCCCCGTTCCCTGCAAGAAGCACTTATCTTCCAGATTTCAGACTGTTGGTTGGGCATGTGTTTTGCTCTGAGAATGTGGTAGAATAATAATTATATTAAAATAAGATTATTAACAAAACTAAAAAAATTGTTTGAAGATGAATGATAATATAGCTTGTAATGAAACATTGCACAGCAACTGTTTTTATTTATTGTTTTAATTATTATTATTTTGTTATGTTTTTTTAAATTAATTGCATTTATATATAAATATATATGGGGGGAAAAAGTTAAGATGGGGAATACACAGAGTTGGTGACTGAAGTATTCATGACCATTTTTGAGTATGTACAGTTTTTTGTTTGAAACATCAGCTTTGTAATATGCCACCTCTTTTTCTCACTTATAAAAAAAAAAACAAAAAAAACACTGACAAGGAGTAATGTCCCAGTGACAGGAACTTAGATCTTTTGATAGTGTGCATTTAAATGCAGATTCTCTGTTCTTTTTGGAAGAAAAAAAAACCATTTCATTTGTTATTTTTATGTCATCATTGAAAATAAATATATGTTGGTTTAAAATGAGTTGTAAAATGTTTTGCACAGTAATACAACTACAATAACCACAATGCACCTCTTCCACGGCAATGTAGTGGGTGGTGAACTCTTGTAAGCTCAGTCAGTGGTAACCATAGAGAATGATAGAGGCCGTTTTAGCATGGGCAGTGTCATTGAGGGCTTCCACCATTTTAAAGTAGTCAAATGGGTGGGGATTCCTATGGGTTGTAGCTTCAATGGCACTGCCCATGCTGTCACAGACACTATAATGGCACAGCTATAAAGATGAGTCTTCTCTATGGTTGTAACAAAAAATGTCACATTTGCTTTCAACTTCCCTTTCATAGTAGTGATTTGAGCTTTGAGAAGTAATGTTTAGCACATTGAGGATAGCTCGGATGCCTTATTGATGTCAGGGAAAGGTCAGAGGAAGGAGTCTAGTTATACGAAGTCTCAGACAGTTCAGAGAGGAGGTACTTCAGTGGGAAAACAAATGATAAGGAGCATCCATACACTGGCTTGTGAAAGTATTCACCACGCTTGGCATTTTTCCTATTTTGTTGCCTTACAACCTGGAATTAAAATGGATTTTTTGGGGGGGGTTTGTATCATTTGATTTACACAACATGCCTGCCGCTTTGAAGAGTAGTCCCCTGTAGCTCAGTTGGTAGAGCATGGCGCTTGCAACGGCAGGGTTGTGGGTTCATTTCCCACGGGGGGCCAGTATTAAAATGTATGCACTCACTAACTGTAAGTCGCTCTGGATAAGAGCGTCTGCTAAATGACTAAAATGTAAGATGCAAAATATTTTTTGTGTGTGAAACAAACAAGAAATAAGACAAAAAAACAAAACTTGAGCATGCATAACTATTACCCCCCCCCCCCCCCCTTCCCCTTCCCCAAAGGCAATACTTTGTAGCGCCACCTTTTGCAGCAATTACAGCTGCAAGTCTCTTGGGGTATGTCTCTATAAGCTTGGCACATCTAGTCACTGGGATTTTTGCCCATTCTTCAAGGCAAAACTGCTCCAGCTCCTTCAAGTTGGATGGGTTCTGCTGGTGTACAGCAATCTTTAAGTCATACTACAGATTCTCAATTGGATTGAGGTCTGGGCTTTGACTAGGCTATTCCAAGACATTTAAATGTTTCCCCTTAAACTACTCGAGTGTTGCTTTAGCAGTATGCTTAGGGTCATTGTCCTGCTGGAAGGTGAACCTCCGTCCCAGTCTCAAATCTCTGGAAGACTGAAACAGGTTTCCCTCAAGAATTTCCCTGTATTTAGCGCTATCCATCATTCCTTCAATTCTGACCAGTTTCCCAGTCCCTGCCGAGGAAAAACATTACATTTACATTTTAGTCATTTAGCAGGCGCTCTTATCCAGATCGACTTACAGTTAGTGAGTGCATACATTTTTCATACTGGCCCCGTGGGAATCCACAGCATGATGCTGCCACCACCATGCTTCACTGTGGGGATGGTGTTCTCGGGGTGATGAGAGGTGTTGGGTGTGCACTAGACATAGCGTTTTCCTTGATGGCCAAAAAGCTCAATTTTTGTCTCATCTGACCAGGGTACCTTCTTCCATATGTTTGGGGAGTCTCCCACATGCCTTTTGGCAAACACCAAACGTGTTTGCTTATTTTTTTCTTTAAGCAATGACTTTTTTCTGGCCACTCTTCCGTAAAGCCCAGCTCTGTGGAGTGTACGGCTTAAAGTGGTCCTATGGACAGATACTCAGTCTCTAACAACCTCCCCTCAACGTGATCAAGACAAAGAAGATGATTGTGGACTACAGGAAAAAGAAGAGGACCGAGCACGCCCTGATTCTCATCGACAGGGATGTAGTGGAGCAGGTTGAGAGCTTCAAGTTCCTTGGTGTCCACATAACCAACAAACTATCATGGTCCAAACACACCAAAACAGTCGTGAAGAGGGCATGACAAAGCCTATTCCCCCTCAGGAGACTAAAAAGATTTGGCATGGTTCCTCATATTCTCAAAAAGTGAAACAGCTGCACCATCGAGAGCATCCTGACTCGTTGCATCACTGCCTGGTATGGCAACTGCTCAGCCTCCAACCGCAAGGCACTAAAGAGGGTAGTGCGTACGGCCCAGTACATCACTGGGGCCGAGCTTCCTGCCATCCAGGACCTTTATACCAGGCGGTGTCAGAGGAAGGCCCTAAAAATTGTCAAAGACTCCAGCCACCCTAGTCATAGACTGTTCTCTCTGCTACCGCACGGCAAGCGGTACCAGAACACCAAGTCCAGGTCCAAAAGGCTTCTTAACAGCTTCTAACTGCTTATACCCCCAAGCCATAAGACTACTGAACAGCTAATGAAATGGCTACCAGACTATATGCATTGTCGTCGTCGTCCCCCCCCCACACACGCTGCTGCTACTCTCTGTTTATTATCTATGCATAGTCACTTTAACTCTACCCACATGTACATATTACCTTAATTACCTGGACTAACCTGTGCTTGACAATTTGCTTAGCAAGCGCGTGATGCATCATAACAACATGAACGTGATTGGTCAACAGTCTGCTGGGTGAGGCATTATATGTTCCTCCATCCAATGGGATTCCTACAGTGGGGAGAGCAAGTATTTGATACACTGCTGATTTTGCAGGTTTTCCTACTTACAAAGCATGTAGAGGTCTGTAATTTTTTATCATAGATACACTTCAACTGTGAGAGACGGAATCTAAAACAAAAATCCAGAAAATCATATTGTATGATTTTTAAGTAATTAATTTGCATTTTATTGCATGACATAAGTATTTGATACATCAGAAAAACAGAACATAATATTTGGTACAGAAACCTTTGTTTGCAATTACAGAGATCATACGTTTCCTGTAGGTCTTGACCAGGTTTGCACACACTGCAGCAGGGATTTTGGCCCACTCCTCCATACAGACCTTCTCCAGATCCTTCAGGTTTCGGGGCTGTCGCTGGGCAATACGGACTTTCAGCTCCCTCCAAAGATTTTCTATTGGGTTCAGGTCTGGAGACTGGCTAGGCTACTCCAGGACCTTGAGATGCTTCTTACGGAGCCACTCCTTAGTTGCCCTGGCTGTGTGTTTCGGGTCGTTGTCATGCTGGAAGACCCAGCCACGACCCATCTTCAATGCTCTTACTGAGGGAAGGAGGTTGTTGGCCAAGATCTCGCGATACATGGCCCCATCCATCCTCCCCTCAATACGGTGCAGTCGTCCTGTCCCCTTTGCAGAAAAGCATCCCCAAAGAATGATGTTTCCACCTCCATGCCTCACCGTTGGGATGGTGTTCTTGGGGTTGTACTCATCCTTCTTCTTCCTCCAAACACGGCGAGTGGAGTTTATACCAAAAAGCTCTATTTTTGTCTCATCAGACCACATGACCTTCTCCCATTCCTCCTCTGGATCATTCAGATGTTCATTAGGTGAAAAATCTCTCGATGTGCCCTTGAGCAAGGCACTTAACCCTAATTGCTCCTGTAAGTCGCTCTGGATAAGAGCATCTGCTAAATTACTAAAATGTAAATGTAATGTAAATGTAATTGGCAAACTTCAGACAGGCCTGGACATGCGCTGGCTTGAGCAGGGGGACCTTGCGTGCGCTGCAGGATTTTAATCCATGACGGCGTAGTGTGTTACTAATGGTTTTCTTTGAGACTGTGGTCCCAGCTCTCTTCAGGTCATTGACCAGGTCCTGCAGTGTAGTTCTGGGCTGATCCCTCACCTTCCTCATGATCATTGATGCCCCACGAGGTGAGATCTTGCATGGAGCCCCAGACCGAGGGTGATTGACCGTCATCTTGAACTTCTTCCATTTTCTAATAATTGCGCCAACAGTTGTTGCCTTCTCACCAAGCTGCTTGCCTATTGTCCTGTAGCCCATCCCAGCCTTGTGCAGGTCTACAATTGTATCCCTGATGTCCTTACACAGCTCTCTGGTCTTGGCCATTGTGGAGGGGTTGGAGTTTGTTTGATTGAGTGTGTGGACAGGTGTCTTTTATACAGGTAACGAGTTCAAACAGGTGCAGTTAATACAGGTAATGAGTGGAGAACAGGAGGGCTTCTTAAAGAAAAACTAACAGGTCTGTGAGAGACGGAATTCTTACTGGTTGGTAGGTGATCAAATACTTATGTCATGCAATAAAATGCAAATTAATTACTTAAAAATCATATAATGTGATTTTCTGGATTTTTGTTTTAGATTCCGTCTCTCACAGTTGAATCAAATCAAATCAAATCAAATCAAATTTTATTGGTCACATGCGCCGAATACAACAGGTGCAGACATTACAGTGAAATGCTTACTTACAGCCCTTAACCAACAGTGCATTTATTTTAAACAAAAAAAGTAAAAATAAAACAACAACAAAAAAAAGTGTTGAGAAAAAAAAAGAGCAGAAGTAAAATAAAGTGACAGTAGGGAGGCTATATATACAGGGGGGTACCGTTGCAGAGTCAATGTGCGGGGGCACCGGCTAGTTGAGGTAGTTGAGGTAATATATACATGTGGGTAGAGTTAAAGTGACTATGCATAAATACTTAACAGAGTAGCAGCAGCGTAAAAAGGATGGGGTGGGGGGGCAGTGCAAATAGTCCGGGTAGCCATGATTAGCTGTTCAGGAGTCTTATGGCTTGGGGGTAGAAGCTGTTGAGAAGTATTTTGGACCTAGACTTGGCACTCCGGTACCGCTTGCCGTGCGGTAGCAGAGAGAACAGTCTATGACTAGGGTGGCTGGAGTCTTTGACAATTTTGAGGGCCTTCCTCTGACACCGCCTGGTATAGAGGTCCTGGATGGCAGGAAGCTTTGCCCCAGTGATGTACTGGGCCGTACGCACTACCCTCTGTAGTGCC